AAGCGGTAGGTCGCGCCGCTACGGTTGGTGAACTCTTCTTCATTGGTGTAGTCCGCACCGGTTCGCGCACGAGTGACGTAGTGCTTCTCGGTGTACGGCCCTACGAACCGCTCGACGCCGACGTCCAGCAGGTCGGTGCAGGGGTCTACGCGCGAGAGCTTGTTGGCGACAAGTTTGGCGCCAAGGTCTTCGAGGGCGTTCTGGATTTGCTGCCAGACCCTCTCCGGGCCCTCGGCCATGAGCAGCCCCGATCTTGCCGTCGCTATCGCGTTGGGCATCGTCTCGTGCCGCTTCTCGCGATTCATCAGCAGAATCGTGAGCCCGTTGTCGGCCTGCAATCGCCAGCGGTAGTGAACCCGCTTCCTCCCCTTACCGGTCGCGGCGCCGGTGCCGATCAAATAGGTATGGCCCCCTAGCTCTTGGCGAGCCACGCCGCCTAGCTCCGCTAGCTGCCTGGCCTTATCGAGGCGTTCTGCTAGCTCTTTGAATCCCGTGTGGTTTACATACAGCGCGAAGTCGAGCCAGTCCTCGCCGCCCGTCGTCAGATCGCACGACGGGATTTTGGGGATAGAGGGGGGTGTGTTACTGAGATCACCCGCCACGTCGCCCGCCTGCGGTGCGGCGCCTTCGGAACGGCGGCGCTCCTCGGCGGGCGACGGGTCGTTGTTGGGGGGGTCGAGGTTCATGCCCCAACCCTAGGAGCCCTAACCCACAAGCGCCCGGACGGATGCGATGCTCGATCTGTCCGGTTTGGGTCGCGTGCCGAATTGCTGGCGGACGCGCCGGATCGCCCGACCAAAATCGTCGTCGGTTGAGTTGGTCAGGTACGCTTGCAAATCCGCCGTTTGCGGGCACGCGTCGAAGAGGGCGCGTAGGTCGGGAACTTTTAGGCGCTCGTCGAGGAGCTCGGAGAGATTCGAGATCCGCGCGGCAACGATCTTGACGACTTGGTTTGGCGCCTTCTCTTTGTCGAACGGGGCTTGGGTGGCCCACTTACGGAGCTTCTTGTGGCGGTAGGCGCCGCGGGCGCCGTCGGCACGCGCCCAGCGCAGGACCGTCGCCGTGCCCAACACGGCGCCGTCGAGCCGCACCAGCTGCCGCGCTGCCTGTTCCGCGGGTTTGCCGTCGCGGCTGACTCGACGCAGCAGGTCCCACGGCGTGACGCCGTACTTAAGCCAACAAGACAGGTACACCCAGAAGTAGAACGCCGTGGCCGGTTGGGTGATATCGAGAGGGCCTTCGTCTTCGTCCGCAGCAGAGAAGGTTTCTTCAATCAGCTTTTCGTGTAGGCGGCGATCGGGTTGGAGGAAGGCGCCGACGATTGTGGCGAAGGCGCCATTCACCGCCCACAAGTCCGACTTGCTAGGGTTGCGGAGAGCGTCGAGGATATCGTTGATGGCCGCGTCTTCCGGGACGCCGAGCTCGGCTAGCAACTTCCGCTCTAGCAACTTGGGCGAGCGGTAGAAACGCAGCCACTTGGTTTCATCGATAGCAGGCCGGCTAGCAAAGATTCCGGTGTGTGTGCGGCGCTGGTGGAGGAATTGCCGGACGTCTTCGGTCGATGCTGCGGCGAGGATCGCCGGGAGGGTGACGCCGAGAGGTTTTCTTTCGGCCCAGGTGGCTAGCAGTTGCGTGTCCATACGCATAGCAGATTC